GACGCTTTTATCCAAAGCGACTTACAATAAGTGCGTTCGACCAACAAAATACAACTTGAAGAAAACAGAATCATATAAGTACATCAGGCTTCATAGAGCAAAAACATTTCAAGTGCTACTCAACTGGCTTTAGATAAGCCAGTCCTTTATTAGTATAAAAGTGCTTCGTTAATAGTTCTATCGCTCGAAGTGGAGTCGAAAGAGATGAGTTTTCAGTTTGCGCCGGAAGATGTGCAAGCTATCTGCCGTCCTGATGTCAATGGGGAGCTCATTCCACCATCCTGGAGCCAGGACAGCAAACCCACGTGTTTTCGCCGATGGGAACTTGGGTCCCCCTCGCAGCGAGGGCGCAGCGAGTCGTTTGGCTGATGCAGAGCGTAGTGCACGCGCTGGGGTGTACGGTTTAACCATGTCCTGGATGTACGAAGGGCCAAATCCATTTGCAGCATGGTAAGCAAGTACCAGTGTCTTGAAGTGGATTCTAGCAATTACCGGAAGCCAGTGAAGGGAGCGGAGGAGCGGAGTAGTGTGGGAAAATGTAGGAAGGTTGAAGACCAGACGAGCCGCTGCATTCTGGATGAGCTGCAGAGGTCGGATGGCACATGCAGGTAGACCAGCCAGGAGGGAGTTGCAGTAGTCTAGGCGTGAGATGACGAGAGCCTGGACCAGAACCTGAGTCGCTTTCTGTGTCAGCTGGGGACGTATCTTCCTGATGTTGTAAAGCGTGTATCTGCAGCAACGGGTTGTAGCAGCGATGTTTGCAGTGAAGGACAGGTTGTTATCTAGGGTCACACCCAGATTCCTTGCAGTCTGAGTCGGGGAAACAACTGAGGTGCCGATGTTGATTGTTAGGTCAAGAGTGGGACAATCTTTTCCCGGAAGGAAGAGCAGCTCAGTCTTGTCAAGGTTGAGCTTGAGGTGATGAGCAGACATCCACTGAGAGATGTCAGCTAGACAAGCAGAGATGCGTGCGACGACCTGGGTCTCTGAGCGGGGAAAGGACAGAATTAATTGGGTGTCATCAGCGTAGCAGTGGTAAGAAAAACCATGCGGGCTAATAACTGATCCGAGCGAGTTTGTGTACAGGGAGAAGAGGAGGGGACCAAGAACAGAGCCCTGAGGGACCCCTGTAGTTAATTGACAAGGGTCGGACTCAGACCCTCTCCAAGTCACCCTGTAGGTACGGTCTTTCAGGTATGAGGTGAGGAGGGAAAGTGCTGAGCCTGAAACTCCAAGTTTTTGGAGAGTGCGAAGGAGGATCTGATGATTCACCGTGTCGAATGCAGCAGACAGGTCCAACAGGATGATGACAGAGGAGAGGGATGCAGTTTTGGCAGTGTGCAGTTCTTCCGTGACAGCAATGAGAGCAGTTTCTGTGGAGTGACCTGCCTTGAAACCAGACTGGTGCGGATCCAGAAGAGATAACAGGAGAGTTGTTTAAAGACAGCGCGTTCAAGTGATTTAGACAGGAACGGGAGGAGAGAGACAGGCCTGTAGTTTATAACATCAGACGGGTTGAGAGTGGGTTTCTTTAGGAGAGGGTTTACTCTTGCCTCCTTGAGACTGTTTGGAAAGTGACCAGAAGTTAGAGAAGTGTTGATGAAGTGGGTGAGAAACGGTAGAATATCAGGAGCGATAGTCTGAAGGAGGTTTGATACATCTCTCAAAACCCATATGAAACAGAATTGGAAACAGATTTTTCTTTATGGATATTTTACAAATCACTTAAACTGTATTCTTGTTTTGTCATATAGTATTTCATAACTGTTTTTCATTTATTCTCTCTGGCTGTCCATCTCATAATGTTCATGTAGAAACTAGCTGTCAATTGGAATATCATTCAGAAGAATTATAATTTCTTGCAAAAATCTGTCACAAAAAGAGGTTGCACATTTAAATTCAGGTGTTGTTATGGCAACGTCAGGGGCCAAACAGCTATTTACTGCTGCAAATATGTTCAAACATGCTGTTGACACGTAAAGCAGTGGCAACAATGCCACCATTTCAGCTGACTTTTTCTCAGAAATACTGTCACATAACATCCATATATTTCAGTGCTAGGTTGATGCTTAGCTAAGCTAACTATGAAACACTTTAACTGACAGGACTCAGTATCAACTGTGTACTGTAAGGCAGCTTCTAGCTTCATGTCGAACAGTAAGTCAACATTTCCCAGAGAGCTTTCTTTGAAATCACCAGGTAATGCTAAAAAACACAACATTTAGATTGTATGACAAAGTGTTTAGTTAATATCTCTGGCTAGCTATAGCTACTTGCTAACGGTTTAGTTTACCCCCGCGATTCAAAGTAACGTCAACGTAGCTGTAATTTATGCTTTGCTTACATGTTCGCATAACTTGGAAGTTTACTGACATTTACATATCTTGTTTACCTGTGGCTCTGGGGTTGTTGTGTGAGCCACCACTTGAGAATTGTCGTCTTTTTTAAGAAATGTTTTTCTTATGTCCATCTTCAAAAACTCTGAGTCCGACTGACAGTTTATTTTAAACATTGTCACAGCTCACAGGATAGGTACCTGTCAGCCAATAAGACAGATGTTTATTTCCATTCAACTCTCTGGTTGGTCTGGTGTCTTGCCTCTGTTGCATTCACTGAACACGGGAAATTACAATCCTGCCGTCCTCTCTTGAGTCATGATGAGGTTCAGGTAAAGCACGGTTAATGTATTATATTATTGACTCAATAATATAATACATGACTTTGAGAGTAGGCAATCTAGGCATATTAACAAAATTAATTAAACATACTTATCACGGCGATGGTGTACTGAGATTTATTTATTTTTTGCTAGGGGGCCCCTTAGTGGCTGCGGGGCCCTAAGCTGCCGCTTATGTCGCTTAATGGGTCGGGCCGGCTCTGTTTATATCTGTGAAACATTTTGTTTAAAGCTGATTTAAACAGGTCACATTTGCTCTAAATCCTCAGCATAGGGCGTATAGTGAAGTGAAGCAGCTGAATGTTATGTTACCCAAGTGTGTCGTTTTGCATATTTTAATCCACAAAAAGAATGAGAAAGCACTTTGGGGGGTTGTCTGTGCAGACAATCTGTTCATATGTTGCACTGTTGCTTTCTAGATTGCTCTCATCTATCTGTCTGCCGTCTGACTTCTGTGTCTTCTGACTTCATGTTGTTCTCTGTTTACCTTGGATACTCCTGAACTTTGGTACACCATTTTAAACGTGGGACTTTATCTAAAAAGAAAATAAAGGATGTTGTGGTAACTGTTGTCGAGCTGATCATCAGTGTGTTTTTAATTAATTTAACAGCAGAGACCGCTGGCATTATACCTGTTTCTACAGTGGCAGACGCTCTGAGAAAGTCCCACGGTATCCAACATACATCAAACGATGCTATCCAGACCCCTTTATTATCCATGTCACCCCCTGTTTAAAGAGGTGTTTAAACTTTTAAAAACAGACATGAGCAACCATCTGTGCTGTAGCTTTGAATAAACACTGTGCATTTTCTAATTACATTTGCTGTAAATTGAAAAATGAAGCCCCCTTCAGCTCTGCAGAGGAAACCGGGTTAATGACTGTGCTCCTCCCAGAGTTTGCTATTGTTAAACATAGTGTGAACTGTCTGCATTAGATTCAGTGTGAGAACGACTATTAGCAGGTTAATGAAGAACATCCTGTGTTTATGTTTCTGATTTAATTTTCTCTAACTATGTGTCCATCATGATGTTATCTTATTAAAAGTGTTCCTTTACCCTTCTTGTTTCTCCAGCTTAGTTCTATGTGCACTGTCCCTCTCTCTATCTCTCGTTTTATCTATCTTGAAGATCTTCCAACCACCTCCTCTCAGCTCATGTCTAACTTATTTCTCAAGCTCTCCAACTCCTCTTTGATATGTCATGGAAAATGAGTGGAGGTGGATCATGGCCAATAATTGAGAATGGGATGAGGGTTTAATTGAGCCACTACTATGTCGGTCTAAATACAAAGTCAATATTGATCTGTCTGGGCTACAAAAAGGGGGGATGGACGAAAGCCAGTGCAGAAGTACAGAAGGAGAAGAACTGCCAGCTGTCTGGACATAAATAATGAGGAAACTGATAAATAAACAAGAAGGAAATGATACTGCACTAAATTGCTTACAGGTTTGTATCATAATGTAAAGAGGTTGAGTTCCAGATTAGTTAAACACTTGTTTAATTTGTAGAGTGGTCAAGGTATAATGCCAGCGGTCTCTGCTGTTAAATTAATTAAAAACACATCAAAGACAACAAAAAAAACCTGAAAGATTTACCTTAAAACAAATGATATATCAGACAGAAGCTAAATTAAAGAAAATGAAATGTATCATTTTGGCTTTGACTGAAGAAGTGTCTCAGTTTGGGCATCAGTGCAGTCGCAGTAAAACAAACTGTAACAGGACTTGAACAAGTTGATCCTGAGCTTGTATCAAATCACCATCTCCCCACTGTATCCTCCAACCTTTGAGAGACATTTTAATCAAAGCCTCTGGGATGTGTCCCGGGTCACGATCTGGTTACGGCTGGTTCCACCTTAAATGAAGCAGCCTGCTGCACTGAGTCAATGTTCCCAAAATATCCAGATGAAAGATAAACTGTCCCCTCTCCTCTGCCCCTCTCTCCCTCTCTGGTGCCTCCCCTCCCCTCCCTTTGTCATTTACTCCGTGTGCAGTGCTCCCACACTCTTTGCCTTAATCCCCCCCTTCAACCCCCACCCATTTTGTCTTTCCTCCCTCATTTTTTTCTGACTGTTGTCCCCCCTTATCCCCTAATCTCCCCCTTGATATCATCTCCCTATTTTCTCCTCCTCTCCTGTCCCACTCACTCCACCCATGGGTGATTCCCCTCCTCTTTCTCCTCCCTCTCTCCTCCCAACCAAACCCCGACCCGTTCTCCCTCTCGCCTTCCTCTTCTTCTCTCCCCTCCTCCACCTTTCCCCTCCCATCTGTCATTAGCTGTATATAAGAGCATTGCATCCCTCTCTACCTCTCTCACACACATACAGTGTGTTTGCTGGGAAGGGGATAGCACATGGGAAACTAGGAATTACATTGTCTACCTGCCTGTGAAGGACTTATTTTCCTCTCTGGAATTTCCACTAAAGAGGTAAAGTCTTTTTATTTACAATTGTAATAGCAGTAAACAGTAGGAGGTGGTCTGCAGTTATAATAACGTAATCTGTGTGGTGGTCCTTTGGTTGAGGCTTTGCTTGGCCGTATCTTAAGTCTCAAGTGCTCCAGCTTTTTTTGTTTTCATGTGTATGTGTTTAAATTGTACCCTGCTTAATAATGTGCACCCAGTTGCACAATGACATTTGTATCTAATTTTAACCAAAAATGTTTATATGTGCACGTTTTGTGTGGTTAATGAAAGTGAATAAGTTAAAATGATATTTTGTTTTATTATTGTCTCCACCACCCTCATAACCCCTCTTGCCATCACACAAGAATATTTATTTAAGCTTCAATTGTCTTACGTAACCCTTCAATAACATATTTAATGTATTGTTTTCTTTCATATCTCGCTTCAGATCTGGGAACAACATTCTAAAGGGAATCCTTTCCAAATTCTTACCTATCATCAAGACACACTGACATCATCTTTGTCACCTGATCTGCAACATATTTTCCTGCCGTCAACATCATCACTTGTCAGTGATATCAACGCATTTGACATCATCCAAGCAGACCATGAGCAGCAACTACAGCGTCACTCTATTAGGCCCCGCCCCCTGGGGCTTCAGGCTCCAGGGAGGGAAGGACTTCAGCATGCCCCTCACCATCTCCAGGGTAAGACTTAAATATGCACACACATGATGATAGGTCCACTCCAACACACTTTTCTTTTAGTTGTATCTACTACAGTATGCCCCTATGCCATGTCCCTGTTTTATCTCCAGACTTGTTTGTCACAGTGCAGCTGCAGAATGGCATCCCAGCAATGCCCCATGGCCTATTAGTGATTAAAAAGATGAAAACTGATACCTTTTGATTCTATCCTTCCGCTCTTTTTCTCCCATCTTTCTCCATCGTTTCACCAGCTTGCAACCACCACTCGTGTGATAGCTGAATCATATGCTATCCGTCATGTATCGACCACACAGGAAACCTTTTCTCACTCTCCACGCATTCCACTTCACATGTAAGAGTCTGTAGTAAAAGTGCTGCATCCAAATGTTGGCGCACAAATGTTGGCTTCAGTCCCTCAGAAACTTGATGGTCCCCTGGTTTTTGTGCCTTTCAGTGTCTACTCTTAACATTAACTCCCAGCCAGCTGGTCATTCACATATTACAAGTAACTCAAACAGGGTTGGGAGGGTTACTTATAAATGTATTCCTTTTTACCTGTACAAAAAAAAATGTAATCAGTAACCTCATTTGAGTATCAAAATATAAAAGTAATGTAACCTGATTACTTTCCATTACTTTTTGATGACCTCATATCAAAATAAATATAAGAGAAAATGAATATCAATAAGATATTACTTTAGTGTATTATGTATGAAAAATGTTTCCTGAAAACCTGCCTTTCATTAAGTAAATCAGGGATTATTCTTTACACCAACAATGAGTGCACAACACATGAATCACAGTGCAATAATACATACTATAGATTAAAAAGAAAAAGAAAATCAGAGCAAACAGAAAATGCTCCATTTTAGTTTAATACATACACCATCATCAAATCAAATCAAATCAAGTTTTATTTATATAGCACATTTATAAACGATTTTTGGTCGAGCCAAAGTGCTGTACATATAATAAAAATAGCCTACAGTAGACACTTTACAGCAAATACAAGAGCACAGATTGTTCAGAATATCAGTATGAGAAAAACGACACCCTCTATCCTTAGACGTTCATCATCTATCCTTAGATGATCATCATCGTCATCATCATCATCAGCTTTTATTTGAAGAGACTCTTGGTCCATTATTAGACATACAACACTCAAATATAAATTAAAAAAGGCAGTTATACCAATGTTTCCACAGTCAGAGGTGACTGATATCTTATAGCACTGACATGGATTTGAAAGTAGCATAATGACAGAGTTATGAGAAACATTCAATCGACAGATGAATTTGTACATCAGATTTCTCAAGAGAGCATGGAACGTGTTGACATTTCACTTGCACTGCACCACCTTGGTTTTCTAAGCAGTATACGCAAACAGTCATTATAAGCAATCTGGAGCTTCTTGAGGCTCACACAGTTAAGCTCACACACACAATTGTATGAACATAAACAGAATAATACTGAATAATAATAATTAAACAACTAATAAGAAGTGAAAACCATAAAGTAAATTCAGGCAGCAGGCGTATATATTCACACTTAAAGTATTAGCCTACAGAACAGTACAGCTTACAAAGAAAAGAAAAGAAAATGCTCCTTATGTTAATATGTTTTTGTTTTTAAGAAACATTGTAATCCTGCTAGTAATCATACATTTTTTAAATGTAACAGTAATCTGATTACGTCTTTTTATGAAACGCTAAGGGAATACTGTTAACTTCTCTTTGTATTCTGTTTACGTATTCCAGTTACATGTAATCTGTTACTCTTCAAGCCTATTATTATTATTTTAATTTTTTTTCTTGATCTTATTTATTTTTGATTTTATTAATCTGTGTGAATCTTTGCTGTCCTGTTTTTTCACGTTTACACTGTTGCTGCTTTGTACCACTGAATTTCCCCTTTAGGATTAATAAAGGTTCATCTTATCTTATCTTATCTTATCTACACACAAATAGAATATCCTTTATTGCATTAACTAAAGTATCATTCTGAAACGTATTACCCTTCAGCTCTGTTCTGCTTGGAGAGTGCAGCTTGTATGGCACACGCAAAACTCAGTCCAGCTAATTGTACTGGACCAACCTACACTCATGAAGTGCACATGTGTCCACACACACATCACTAAAACTGGCAGTGAACACACATATGGCAACATAAGCCTGATGATAAATGGCTTGCCAGGTCCTGTGCCAATCCCCCTGGGGGCCGCATTGGGTTGCCATGTTTGTGTTATTACTTTGGATGTGATACTTTTCCCACTAACCGAAGCCATGTGAACTTTTACCACTGTTGTGTGCTTGTGTGTGTGTCTGCGTGTCTGTGTCTGGGATTGTGCTCATGCAGTTAAAATGATGGAAGACACTATTTGTGCAACTGACAGAAAAAAACTGAGGACAGGTAAAGAAAAAATGAAGATATGAGGTAAATGTTTTCAAAAGAAACACTTCATATACAGTACATCCATAATGTGGATGCTGAAATATCAAATTTCGAGAACAATATTCTGCATTACAAACATATTATTCCAAAGACTTCCTGTAGGAAGAACCCAGATATAACTGAAAAAATGGAAATAAATTGTTATGTAGGTCAGTGGAAGTTTTTTAAATTCCCAGTGAAGTTGGCAGTAACTAAACTAGAATCGTCTCAGTAGCCCACTCAGGCCTTTACTGCAGTATCACAATGACAGTTATAAGGTTTGAAGTTTCAAGATGTTGCAAGAGTGTGAGTAACTGCTGGTGCAGTTTTTAGTGTTGATATACTAAATGTACTTGAGACCATAATATCTACCATAAGTATAGGGATAAGGATAATATGACTTATGAGTATGCTTTTATAGTTTGCAGATTTGGTTCAGGTCAAGTCTAAAAATTGCAGCTCCAACTACTGATTATTCTTCAATAAATTAGACGAATGTGAAACGGGGAACACAGGACATTCTCAGAAACTGGTCACATTTTTGTGAAATAAAAGGTGTAAACAAAAACTTTAGGTCAATGAAACCAACACAGATATTCTGCCTTTGTCTTCATCTCCATATTTAGTTTGGAGTGTACACGTTGCAAAATGCCATTTGATGAGGTATATGTGGACTAAAGCTTTTTGTATCGCAAGCAACTTTTATAGAGAGTAATGTAAAGCAGAACACCAGTGCATCTTTGGGAAAACTTAAACTCACCAAAGGGTGGCCATTGTTAAAACTGTGGTTAACTTAGCGGAGAAAGAAATGTATATTAGCAGAGAACAGGGAGAGGTGGAAAGCTGGAATAAGTGAGTGGATGTGGATGTAAGGTGATATAGATATGCGGTACATAGGAAGGAAGCTGTTTACAGAAAGGGGTTTCTTAAGGGCTGATGACAGATAGTCTTGCTCTTTTGCACTTTTTGCATATCATGTATTTGTTTTTGCTATGTGTATAATTGTCATGTTCTTAAATGTTTTATGTGAGGGATTGCAGATGGAAATGAGCTCCAAGCTAAAATTCGGCATATTTACACTATTTAAATTTTTTTGTTTTAAGTGTTCATGAATTGTCCCTGCTAAATAAATGATTAAATGAAAATAGTCTATGTGACGCAAACATATGATATCACTCAACAGGTCATCTATCTAGAGCTTTCTATCTGCCCCCCTCATCTTCACCGTACCTCATACTGTCATACCTTCCTATTTGTCTCTTTCTCTCTTTCTCTCTCTCTTCTCTTTCTTTCTCTCTATTTAATTAGGGTCTTATGTAAGATATGACTCACTCCTCTGAAAACAATATGGATTAAAGTCTACATACAATAATCTAACCCAACACTATTTCTAGCCTAATTAATCCAGTTTAAGGTTAAATAATGGAACTGGCACATGTACACTGTGTGATTTCTGTTGTGTTTGAGACCCATCGCTCTCTGCCAGTCCAACCATAGAGTTTGTTCTGAGAAAGGGTTATTAAGGAAACGCAGCTACTACTGCCAAACCACACACTAACCCTAACAGCTGCTGTTGCTAAGCTCTTTACGTATGTGGATATACTGTGTGTTTCGTTTTTGTAGCCATGGTATTATTATCACATTGTACCGGTATTGCATCATTGGGTTGGTGTAGGTGTAACCACAACTGTAGGTCCAGAGTTATCTGCCCAGTATCTGCTGTTTTCCTCACCTCTTCTTTTATTGTACGGTGTAGAAAAACAGGGTTGCCAAAGTGCCAATGAAACATTTTACCACGGCATCTCAGTTTGACACAGTCCATAAAAGGAGATATTTTGAGAAGAAAGGAACATAAGAGCCGGTGGCAGTGTGACAGAGTGGGGTTGCTAAGTTCTCCTCAAGTATTTTTTTTAATGATGGCCTTCAGCACTTTGAACATATCCTGCATTAGTTGAGCAGGGGTTTCAACATAATGTAATACATAGTCATTGTGATGCCCAGCAAAACAGCTGAGTATGAATGCTGGTGTTATAAGTGACAAGTGGCTGATGATAAGCTTTAAGACAGTAATGGAATGTAATCTGTACTAGGTAGACTATTGACTCTATATTGACTACAAGTAACATGTCTTGCCTTTTAGTGAAGCAACCATTTAATGGATATGAACCGGTTTTAAAGAAAAATAATGTAGAAGCACTCCAGGCACAGTTAATCCCCTTTCAAACCATTTGTTAGGAAATCCAATAAATGTTTAACGTTCAAAGCATTTCCAAGAATAGCTGCCCTTTATTTGCAGTTCAATTACAACAGAGTGAATCCATTTTTAAACCCTTCTGAGGGCAGCCCATTTACAGGAACCATTTCTAAAATAATTTACTGGACACAGGGGAGCATGTGCATCAGGCTTCTGCAAATAGATCCATCTTTCTACAGGTCAGCTCCCTTGACGGTACCCACTCACGAGACAAACTGGTCTTGGATCTGTACCCCTGACTTAGAGCTCCTTGGTCTTGGTTGAATGTTAATCATTAAAGCTTTTGCTTATTTTGCTTACTTCTCTGTAAAGCGAC